CCTTCCCCCTTCAACACAGTTCCACCTCAAATCTCAATTTGAGTAGCTACAGGCGTAAATCACAGCTGAATGCCTCAAGATACCTAATTTCAACCTGCAGGTTAGTTGTATCTGGTCATTTGGAAAACACTTTAACAATTCAGCTGTTAAGGCCCACTTGAATGTAAGCCTGGAATTACTGTTTTCTTCTCAGAAAGAAGTGGAATCAATAATGCTACTTAGGGGCTGGTTATAATATTTTCAAGATCATGCTTTTAATTTTGAAAGGTAATTTGAAGACAGTGATTAAGATATATTTAGAGGGCTATTGCTTTCATAAAACATTTTACAATTACACAGTTACCTCCATTACTAATAATCTGCCTTATAAAAACTGAACTAATGCTATAAACTTAATTTACAATGACTGTATACCACTCATATTTCATTCACCAACTGACAGCAAAAAAATCACTGAGCCTCTGTCTTGCATAAAGAACAGGGGATAGAGTATTAGATAATGCACATCAGGAAATAAAACAGAACTGCACCAGAGTAAATAATGGCTGCAGTGAGTAGGTAATGCCCTCTCTAGCTCTGAACAATTACAACTGTTGATGCCCTTTGCTCCATTTTTATCTCATGCATGGACATTCTCTTCCCATCCTGAGCAAACCTCCAAGATCTGCAGATGAAAGGGGCTGGCCACGAAAGGCATTGACTCCACAGATGGGGCAGCACCTAAACTGACATAAACTGGACCTCAGAACTAACTACACCAGCTAAGGAAGCAAGAGCCACTTTCATGCACTTGAGCAACTTTGCAGGTCTGAATCGGGTATGGAAAGTTTAATTTTCATTGTTTCATGTTCTCTCCATTCATGTTTGAAAAGAGGTAAGTTAAGCTTCCCTCCTGCAAAATTTTAGGGTGTTCACACTGACACATCTGTACTGATCTTCCAGACCATATTACAACATAAATTTCTCACAGAAGGTAACTCTAGTTCTTCTTCATTCCTTCCTTTCATACTCAGCCCTTGGACCAAGTGTATCTTCACTGCAGATGTTGTATATTCAATACCAGACTAGTGCCAAGCTGAGGAATAATACTGAAGAACCCTGTCAACCTGCAGTGACAGATTTCTTAAATCACTCGTTACATCAGCCTTAATAATGAAGCTGACATGACATGAAGCTGACACCCACCCAAAGGCCTGCTGCCCCCAGTGGGATTGTGAATGGGTGGAAAAATCCATACCCAGAGATCACTATAGGATTTTTCTCCCTGCGTGTTCCAGGGTCCACCTTCTGTGAACAGCAAAGCCCATTCTGGGCATTATAAGTGCAAGTAAATAAATACCAACATACCCAGTGTCTTCTGTTTTGAAATATGTTCAATCACCCATCTAGGCACCCGTTTTGCCTGGTCATAAGACAGCGCATGATTTGTGTAACATCTGGTTTCTGTTCCAGCCTCAGGGAATCCATATCTTTCCAGCAGAGCCTCTTCTACTGGTTCTATGGAGAAAAATAAACAGTCATCCAGAGATGAAACGTGATCAGAAACACCATCAGAAACAAGACAGTAAGAAAACCATCTCAGTGGGCGTATAGGGAATTACTTGAGGTTACTGCCACAATTAAGACCTAAAAAAATATTAAGAGAGCTACCCCACTGAAACTCTCATCTAACAAAATAGTTGTGGTTTCCATTGTGTCTTAACATCATGATCTCAGCTCTAGGACTAACTCAACTGCTGTAATGCCCACATATATATGCATATATCTAGCAATCAGTCTGAGCTGGCCCTCAGAATAAAAGCTATCAGATATTTAGGGACAGAACAGGCAGTGAGGACTTACAGGCACACATAGTTTACCCTTTGGAGCTGGAAATCACACTCTGCCTCACAAACTGCGATGTGTGACTTGGGTAAAAGCAAGTCCTGCCCTCACTGCGAACACTTATACCCTGCTCAATGAACAAAAGCTTCACTTTGAGACACTTTTTTTTTTTTTTTTGCAAGCAACAATTTTCTCTCATGGAGGAATATTTACATCCATCTCACTGCTTTCCTCATCCTCTACCCATTCGTCCAAAAGCAACGCAGGTTTTTAGAGCCATTCTTCCTCTGTTTCCCAACGCCCTGGTAGAGTTTTAAAGTCTTCAGGTGCAGAGAAAACCATTTACTCCCTCGGGTGCCCCCCAACACTCCCTCCCCTCATCTGCACCCCCCAAACCCCCAGGTGTAGAGACTTGATGGACCAGCCTTGGCTCACCCCAGGCAGCTCTAGCTGAAGTTTAGTTACGGCCTGAATTGTGTGTTTAAAACTAAATATATGTGTGTATATATACTCATATACATGCATGCATATACCATGGAGATGTTGTCAGATCATACAGGACAAATGCTCTGCGCTCCCCCACTGCAACAGGGGACACTTGTAGCCATCCTGGCAGCCGAACGGACCCACTTTTCTTTTCTGCCACCAACACTTTGGCTTGAGCAGCCGCACGGGGAAGCGCTTTTAATGACAAGTTACAGCCCAGCATCCCCAAATAACCTCCTCGCCCCACAGCCCGGCGCACGAACTGGGGGACCCCTCCCCGCCCCCGATCTCCCGGCCCGCTTTGGGCACTCCTGGATGGAAGACAGGAGGGAAAAAGCTCTTCTGAGGGGAGGGAGAAGACACTTGTGAGGGCAGGGAGAGGGTTTAAGGGCAGGAGCGGCTGCGGGGAGCGGAACCGCGCTGAGGCGCCGCCGCCTCTCCCGCCCGGCGGAACCACGGTGCCGCCTCGCCCGGCCTCCCCGCGACCCGCAGCGCTTACCCTCTGCCGGGGCCCGCCCGGGGCCAGGCTCCGGCTGGCTCTGGCTGCGGAGGAGCCGCCAGGCAGCCCAGCAGGACGCGGCGGCCCCGGCCGCAGCCCCGCAGACGAAGCCGCCGAGGAAGCGGCGGTGGCGGGGCAGGGCCGCCATGGCGGCGGCGGGAAGGGAAGGGGCGGGCGCCGCGCTGTCCCCTCAGCGCCCCCTGCCGGCCCCGCCAGGGCGGCACCGCCTCAGCCCGGGAACGCGGCGTGAGGGGAATGAGCCAAATAAAAGACATTGGACCGAGAGCTGTGAAAAAAGTAAGGAATGAGTCCCCGCACGGAGATTACAAGGAGTGCCCACGGAGGGGTGGCTGAGCTAACCCCTATCCAGCGCGGCCACCCTGTGCTCCAACACCGAAGGGCTACAGAATCGTTTGGGTCAGAAGGGACCTGTAAATCTCATTTAGTCTTTAGCTAGAGAAAAAAAAACTCGTCTCTCATATGAGGAGAGACTGTGGGAGCGGGGCCTGCTCAGTCTTGAAAAGACTGAGGGGCATCTCATGAATGCATATATCAAATATCTCAAAGGCAGGTGCCCAGAGGATGGTGCCGGACTCTTCAGTGCTGCCCAGCAACAGGATGAGGAGCAATGGCCATAACCTAAACTACAAGAAGTTTCACCTCAACATGAAGAATGTCTTTATGTTGACATTGTCAGAACACTGGAACAGGCTGCCCAGGGAGGTTGTGGAGTCTCCTCTCCAATGTCATTCCAAAACCACCTCTACACATTCCTGTATCAGGTGATCCTGCCTTGGCAGGGGGGTTGGACTGGATGATCTCCTAAGGTCCCTTCCAACCCTAACAATTCTGTCATTCTGTGATAGTCCAACTTCCCTGCAATGAGCTGAGTCAACTTCAACCAGACCAGGTTGCTCAGAGCCCAGTCCAACCTGACCTTGAATGTTTCCAGGGATGGGGCATCCAGCACCTCTCTGGGCAACCTATGCCAGTGCCCCACTTCCTTCACTGTAAAACATTTATTCCTTATGTCTAACCTAAATCGACCCTCTTTTAGTTTAAAGCCATTCTCCCTTGTCCTATTGCAATAGGCAGTGCTAAAAAGTTTGTCTCCATCTTTCTTACAAGCCCCCTTTAAGTAATGGAAAGCCACAATAAGAACCTCCCAGAGCCTTCTCTTCTCCAGGCTGAACAAGCAGCTGAGGATGGTGGTATGGAGTTGGGATAAGTCAATATTGGATGATGTTACATCAGGTTTCTTTTTGGGAAAACCATAAGCCTTATTATTACTATTTTTCCCTCCCGGATACCTGTTAGTGTTCGTGTTGGTCTCATGCCTGTTCACTGTAAACACTTCCAACCCAACATCGAGCCAGAGACATTTTTTTCTGAAAAAAAAGACACTAGTTTAGAAACTGAAAACGTCAGAACATGAGGACTGCCATCATTTTGCTGCTGGCAGCTTGCCTGGAGAGGTCTGGCCATGCTTGTGTGTAGCTGAGGGCATCTTCTTACCTCATGTGAGGATTACAGGGTGTGTTGCTACAGAGTGTGTTGCTTTGAGTGCAGGGAACTCAGGCTTTTTTTTTTTTTTTTAAAATCTTTTTCCGGATCCTTTGGTTTCTGGCAGTTGCAGCTACGTTGCTGGACTTTGTTGATACAGCTTAACACGCACATAATGCTCTGTGTGAACAGTTCTTTGCTAGGAATGATAAGCAGTGTTACCATAGTGCTACAAAGAGGCAACACACTCAAAAGGACATAGTAATTTTATAGTAATAAAGTAATAATAACAAAAGGACGCAGGTTGCCCAGAGAAGCTGTGGCTGCATCATCCCTGGAAGTTCAAGGCCAGGTTGGATGGAACTTGGAGCAACCTGGGCTAGTGGAAGGTGTCCCTGCCCATGGCGGGAAGACTGGATCTAGCTGATCTTTCAGGTTCCTTCTAACCCAAACCATTCTATGATTCTATGAATTTCAGCTAATTCCTTCTTCTCTTTGAAATTGTTTGCAAGTGATGGGAGTAGAGGCTTCAGATATGCCTCTACAGAGGTTTTGTTAGAGATTTTGGATAGCAGAGATGCCATTGCAACACCTAAAACATTCTTCTATGAAAAAGGAAATCCTCCAGCTAGATGCCAAAGGCAATAAAATAACAATGATTTTAACATCACACCAATGAGGGAAACAGTTATTTGTAATTTACTGTTTATTTTCATATACAAAAAGATAAACTTGAAATAGTTCTTTCTAGGTTTTTTCCTCCTATCTGTTGGGGTGTAGCTGCTTCACACAGGGCAAATACTACATTCATACTGGTTTATTCGGACACCCAGTGCAAAGCTGAAGCAGCAAAACTCCAACTTGGCAGATCTAATTTCAAACTTGAGACTCATTTCTAAAATACCACAGTAAAAAGGAACAAAGATCCACTGCAAATTCATGAACTATGATACAATGTTCTTTCCAAAATGTCTTCATTTCATAACTGCAATACAATGGATGTCTGCATTAGGCCATTTTATATGTACATTTTATATATACATACTTCTGCAGAATATATATATAAAATATACATATATGAAAAATCAGCACACTTCAATCCAAAAGGGGTTACAGCAACGAGCTTAACTCTCTGTATACTTTTTTCTTTAACAGGATACTTTAGTATAACTTCTGTTAACTCAGTAGTACAAGCTATCTCTGTTCTACATTTTTATAGCTACAAGAGTGAAATATAACCTACAACATTTACATTTCACATATCTTGGTATACAAACAGTACTTATTGAATTTGAGCCAAGGACCAAAAGACTCTTTAAAAATTATTTCACCATCTGATAGAGCTTCCTGTAATTTACACTCAGTTTATTCCGCAATCTTCTAAATCATTTACTTAATCTCATAGTTTGAGTTTAAATCCATTCAAACTGGAAATCCTGGAGAAACAGGTTACTGCAAACTCTTATGTATACTCTATATATACAAGTTAAGTAACACAGCGTAATAAGACTTAGCTATTTATCCTAAAACTGATATACACATATTTCACTACGCTAGACAAGTCTTAGGATTTTTTATTTTATTTCTTTAAATAAAGCACAAATTTAGAAGTAGCTGGTAAAACTTACAATAAGATGGTTTAAAATGACAAATGGTTAGGGTGAGATTTCTTCCTGCTGGTGCCAAAACATTTTCTTGTGAGTTTTTGTACTATGCTGTGTTGTTTAACTGTATGTGTCTAATGTGACATGCAGAAAGCTCTTTCCACAAGAATTGACATCAAACTGTACTTAAGTCGACTTTACAGTACAAAATTTGTCAAACTTAGGGACGAATGTGAAAATATTAACAGGTGAAAGATCAGACTTTCAACTCTATCATGAGGATCATGCAGAATTCATTAAGCAGAGAGTTCGAACAGACTGACAATGGCATTGTGCGGGTTTATGGCATAGAACTGAGGCCAAGAATGTTACTTAGTTTGCAGTAACCACCTCCTTCAATCCTGATCCGCCAACAGATCGACTTTTGCATCGTAGTTATTCCATTGGAAGGCCAGCAGCATTGCAAAATGCCTCCTCCTGGGAGATTTTAGCACTTTGATTTACCAAAGATAATAATCATCAACAGCCATAGAAACATTAGACAGTCAAGAAAAAAATGGGGAAAGGGAACCGTCTAATTTTCTTCCTTTACTAATAGTAAATTAATTACTAGTCATTCACTATCAGTAATTAAATGAATTACTAGTAATAGTAAATTCATTAGTATTTGGACAGGAAAGCTACTATGTTGTCCAAGTAAAATATGGACTGTAATGTTGCATCAACTACATGGATACATCTTTTAAAACCAGACATTTGGGAGGGGGAACACATACAGTAAAATGTTAATGTAAAAAATGGTCTAACTTTTTATTTTTCCCGCAGAAAATACGGCCTGAAAAGAATTCTCTTCGACAAAGTACCACTAAGAAGTTGCTGTAGTTGAAGGTCTGATTTTACAAGAAGATTCTTGGGAGAAAGTAGTTGGAAAAAGAAAAGGGCCAGACAGGTTCTAAGTCTCGTCAACATGATTTTTGTTATACACAAAGTTGCTCTGGTGCTAAGTCCACCTTCAGGAGCTATGAGATGGTCCAACCTCCTCTTCCTCCTCTGCAATGGCTGGATTTTTGGTCCAGGTTGTTTTTGGGGGGTTATTTTGGTGTTTAAACAGAGGTGGCAATGCTGAAAGCCAGCGACTACTGAATTAGGATTTTAATTGACTAGGATGGTTACTGATTCAACTTCAATTCATCAAAACAGTGGAAAAATTGAATAAAGTATGGCCAATGCCTTACTCATCACAGAAACAGAAGCTACAAAATCTTCCCAGAACATGTTTTAGTTTTGCAATACCAGCCTTACTGCAATGTTATACACTGAGTTTTTGCTTTTTAACACCTGGAAAGATTAAGAGGCCTCCGCTTCAAAATCGGACAAAAAATGCAGAAATAATGTTTTATTTGCATTATCTGCCCCATTAAAATACTGAAATAAAAGGCTAACAAAGGAAGCACTTTTCAGAGAACACTTTTTCTTGATAGGTATCCAGCACAATGCCATTATAGAGCTTCATAGAAGTCCTTTTGGTTTCAATGTTGGAAAACAAAATAAGTTTTGCTTTTTTCCTTCAGTCCTTGGGGATCACTTTCTGTTGACGTATATATATATATATATCATATATATACATGTATATATGTATATGATACATATATATAAACACCCATATATAGCAAGGTTCCTGTTTGCAATATGTTACAATATTGTAGTATCAAGGAGAATCCAGATAGCAACACTGTTTAACATGAGGTTTGAGGTAATTGGTTTTTGAAATACCTGGATCACAGACTGCATCCAGAAATAACAGCTGGGCAATGAAAAGTTGGGGATTTTTTTTCAGACAGAAAAAAGAAAAAAAAAAAAAAGAAACGTAAAGCTTACAGCAGTTGCTTTTACATGGAAAAATAAAGGCACAACAGAATAATAGCATTACATTTCAGAACAGCTGGATGGACATAACACAAGTGTGATCTCCTTCTGTGGAAGTGTCCTGACAAAAAGGATTGCTGCTTACTCCACAGGCTACTACTTCAATCAGGGAACAGAGCATGACCCTGAAATGAGTTACAAAACAGGAACTCCCATGTGAGTAAGGGACCAGGTGTGCTTGGAAGGTGTTCCAGGAACACACGCGCACTCGTGGTCACACAGGATTGGATGGCAACTCTCTCCCTGATTTTCCACAGGGCCAGGACTTCACCCAAACACAGTTGAGGGACTCAGCAATTCTAGAAGCCTGCTTGAAGTGGTGTAAGCACTGATTTCAAAAGGCACACTGTCAAACCAGCTCCAAGGTAGAGCCATGTATTGTTTGGTTTAAAGCTTTCTTCAGTAACTCTCACCCAGTGACTCTGTGCTGTCAGGGTTAAGAGAACTAAAAAACCTGGAGTGAATTTTAGGTCTGATGGAAAAATAAGTTAAAAACCCCCCACATTTTCAGTTGCTTTTACTTTAATACTCTTAGAATACCTTGGTTTGATTACACAGATTTGAAAAGCTCTTTCTCTAGGAAGGGCTTCAGATGTGACAGTGCTCCTTTTCTTCAGTGCCTCCGATGCAGACGGTTAAATCTGATGTTGGGAACACAGAGCACATTATCTGTGTGTTCTGGTGAAGCCTGATTAGCTGTGTCATTTCAGAGAGAAGGAATTTCTAGGAACTGGTTTTATCAGGACTCTACTGGCAACAGCTCCTTACAGATCATATTGTCAATGCAGCAGACGCAGCTGCTATAAACGGATACGGCAGCGAGCGAGATCAGCCCGGCTATTTGGCCTTGGTAAACTCTTAACACCCTGACTTCACAACTCACTGCAGCACCCCAGCATATGCCAAAAGCCACACTGCTCACACATGGATACTCGCATGAATACATGAAAAAAACTCTTCCTGGTTTAACTGAAGATGGCCATAGAAAAGCAATAAGCATCTTTAGCAGAAGGGATGTGACACGCAAGATAACCTAAACATATACTCAGTGCCATCCTCAAAGCATGTCCAAGTACATCCAAACTTGCTCCTCAAACTCTTTTCAGGCTACACTTCTTCTATCCTCTAGACTTTGATGTAGTGCACACTTAATTTAAACATCATATATATATTTATTTATTTGCTGTGCGTACACAGACCTTTCTCCCTTTTCCCTGCAGCAACATATTAGACATTACAAAAATAATTTGTGGTATAAAAGAATTCTCACACAATGTAGAATTTTTGTTTTGTATATGTAACTAAAATATATATATATTTTTCCAAAAGTAAAAAAGTCAAAATGTCCTTATTTTCCTCTATTATATAGTCTATTTTATTTACAATGTTACCAAACAATATCCTGTATGTAAAAGTGATAAAAGTTTGCGGGACGCTTCCTGCTTAGCAACTTCTAAAGTGGAGTGTGGCTTGAAGAGGACTGCAACAACAGCACTGTCACACCTTATCAACCAGCACCTTCCTCTGCAATACAAGTTCCTTCCATACCGAGTGAAACCAGACCTTTCCCTGGAAAACCAGGGCAAGCTCTCACAGTCTGACTAGAAAGCAGCACAAGAGGAATAAAACGTGTGTTCTCTGTTTTCCGCACTGTGATATTAAGGGGGATCAGGATTCCTAATGGCGAGGCCTGACCCAGCCAACCTGGAAATATCTGCTTCCACTGAAATCAGTGACTTCAAGGGAGAACAGCAAGGAATCGGGAGACCCAAGGAAAATGCAGTGGAATTACCAGGAGGCACTCAAGGACCTTCTCTTCAAAACAAACATACACAAATATTTTGGCACTTCCATAGGTGTAACTATCTAGCACTGGATATTCTGTAAGACAATTTCAGCTGAAGAATGAGGCAGCATAAGAAATGGGTTTCTTTTGCCTTAAATAGAAATTTCTTAATTATCAGGATCAGCTAAAATCCTTAATCATAATGAATAAGCCTAGTACCACTTAACTGATGGTTATACTGGTTTATAGCCATCTGTTGTAATATGCACCTATATTTTAATATAAGCCACATACAATTTCCAGCCTTGCTGTACTAATGCAATTTCATTAGCAAGTCACAGCTCTATCATCTCAAAAAAATACCCCTATTTTAACCTCTGTGGTATTTCCAGTTTAAAAATGTGAACTTAAACTTTGTTCACCTAGGAAACCAGCACAGCCAGTGCAATAAATTCATAAAAGGGAATTACACTGGGAGGATGGGGAATCGTGGCTCTTAAATTCAAGGAGAATTTTTACTCAGGATATTTAATGTTAGCATTCACCTCAGAACTGCCATACAAGAGAGGAAGGTCACCAATAAAATTCTGCAGTCAAGTTTTTGAAGACTAACTTCCTCTATGTCTAAATGGGAAGGGAAATTTAGTGACTGGGAAGTAACAGAAGAGAGGTGTTGTTCCCATTCTATTCAAGGAAGTGTTAAGAGCAAAAGAGTTGCAGTTGCTTAAGACAGCTACACCTATGGATGTGCCCCATTCCTGACTTGGAAAAAGCCTCTGCAGCACCAAACAGAACCAAAATCATGTTGTCAAAGGCTAGATTAGTGGTGAGGGAACTACTTACTTGGCAGCTCAACTGTTGAAAGACCGATAAGTTAAAAGGAGCTTGTCTTCATTAATAAAATAGATACCAGTTTTAAAAAAAATCTTGAGCCAAACTCGTACAAATTTGGAAATAAGCGAAAGTTCAGGATTTCCTTCTCTGCTGCAATAGCAAGACACACGGACCTACATACATATAAAACTTGTAACTCAGCACACACGCAATTTGGAAATTCATTTTAAAGTCAGTTTCTGAATCCTGCTGACAAGATGATCTATAAGGAACCATTACACCAGGAAGATGTAATACTTTACAATCAATGTTCGGTCAGGGTTTGTACGGTCGTGCAGTTCCCCGCAGTAAGATAAGCTACATGTGAGAATTTTTGTTTATGCTTTCTCAAAAGAGAATATTTCAGACACTGTCTAATAGGCTATTAAAATCATATGGCACTTTCAATAAATACTTTAAAGCTTCTTAAAGAAATCAGGATAAAAAAGCAACTGCTGTAATAAGCCTGTTTTAACTATTATACGTAATGCTGAAGGAAAAAATCCAGAAGAGCAAACAGATATTAACAGTTAAAAGACAGTACAGCTTTTTTTCTTTCTGCAGCAATATGAACTGGCTCCCATTCCTGGGGAAACGGGAGCAAGCCCACCTCGAAACAAGTATTCACTCAACCTTAACTGCTCTACGCTCCACCCCAACCCTTACATCACTTCACTTCTAAAACATAGTCACATTATTATATAAATCTCAGTGCAGAAATGTATTAAACATGAAAAATACTGATCCTGCAAACATTTACAACCACGCTTAACATCAAGTGAGTGCCTAATGTCATGACACCAGAAGAGCTACCTACACCCTTAATGCCAAGCGTAGGTATGTTGCAGCATCAGGCCCAAAGATGCCAACCCCCACCGGGGACATCAGCTGGGTCAAAATGGTATCGTTCTGTCTGGTTTTGTCAAGGTTTTCTCAACATCAAGAAACATAAACTTTCAAACCTACACACGGAAACACAGTTACATGTGTGTACATACTAATATGCAATATACATTCAGTAACTTGAAAGAATAGGTTAAGACTTTATTCAGATAGACAAATTAAGGCAATTCTCTTAATGTCTCTTCAAGATAAAGGACCATGTCCTCATTTGTGACCTCTAGGTTTTAAAGCTATACTTTTCAAGAAATATATTTCAATTTTCTTTATATTTTCTCCAATTAGCAGTTTTGTTTGCTTAATAAATTATATCTGTGCAAGGGTGCACACTGATAATTTGGCAGTGGCGAGAAGTCCAATTCATTTACATAATACAGACTTTTTACATTTCCGTTACAGGGTGATTAGTTTAGGACTGCATTTTGGCTTAACACAAAGGAAAATTTAGAAGATCTGGCCATCCAATGGACATAACTTTGTCAGTCTAGCAAGACACAGAATTCATGTTATATTCAAAGTAAAAAAAAAAAAAAAAAAAAAATGGAAAAAAAATAAAAAAGAAAAGAAAAAAACGATGTACTGTCCTTTCACTAAAACAGACCAAAAAAAAAATATCACAGAATGGAAACAGCCTTCACAAATAAGAGTGAATAATGCCCAGGTACCTTATATAGGCAGTTATTCTACAACTGTATACAGTTATTTACAATGGTGCTTTATTAAACAAAACAACAAAAAAATGGTAGCACTTCCTAAAAGATTTTGGAACTTTTTTTCTTTTTTTTTCTTTTTTTAAAACTCCCTTGTCATAAAAGCCAACTTACATTAAAATATACTTACTACAAGACAACACAACTAACAAAATATATAATAAAACTCATACAAGTAGAAAATTCTGAGGTATTTCTGGTTTGAGGTGGTCTGTGGTCATGAAGTTTTAATTTTTTTTTTTTCAGTTTAAACCTCGGAAGCCACGTAATGTGTGTGTGTGTGTGTGTGTTTTGTGTTTGTTTTTTTGTGGTTTTTTTTAAAGTTTTTTTTTTTTTTAAACATTGCATGTTTTGCAAATTAAAAAAATATTTCATTGTTGAATCAGCAGCATTAGGAACATTCACTGACTAGAGCGAGTTTATGGCATAATAAGAGTAACGGTATCTTAGAATATGCACCACTTTAAGACAAAAAAGTTTCATCACAGAGTAAGGAGAAAGCAGTGTCAAAGAAACCGGTCAGAGAGATGCTGTGGGAATCACTGTTGCTGCTCAGCTGGGCAGCCCATAGGGTTCTCAAAGTTCTTCAGGTATTTTCACTCCCCCAACTCCAAATTAATAAAGAAAAAAAAACATTTACCCAGTTTCTACCCTTTTCCTCTTTCCACCTTCTAGACCGGTAGCTTGGGCTGACAGATAATCAATTCAAGGCCAAATTTCCTCAACTGACTCACACTTAAAATGAGATGCAAGAATTTTCCCATCTTCCAGTATTTTACCAAAGTGCTTCTGAAAGCACACTTTCCCACCTCTCCTGGTTACACCACTTAAAAGCATCCTTCCCACTGCTATCTGGAGTCAAAAAAATAAAAGGTAATTATAGTTCCTCTTTGTTCTTCTACTGCCAAGCCCGAGATTCTGGAGGAAGAAAGAACTAGCGCCTTGCTTCCAACCACTGTCTCTTTAACTCTGCTTTCTCCACACTCTGCTGCCGTTAATACTCTGCCCAGAAATGTCCTTCCCCTCCTCTAATGGTTACCTGAGAAGTAGCTCCATAGCAAATGATGTTTCCCCAAATGCTGCCAAGTCCAACGTCACTCTCCCCACCCCTATTCTACGCTCCCCCCTTCAATTCTACCATCAAGAATTAACATTCTCCGCCCAGTTACTTTTTTTTCCATGTTACAATGACACCCGTTAGATCCGTAAAGACACATCTGCTGTTTTTTTTTGAAGCTCACTTCCAAAAAAAAATAAAGATAAAAAAGGAACTGAACCCAAAACCAAAACAAAATGGGGAAAAATCCTTTTGAGGAAGGTGTGTTCTTTATATAACAGTCTTAAGTTTCCTCCACAGTTTGCAGCATTGCGTTTTTGAAGATGGTAGGTGGTTTTCCTTTATGTCACATAAGCTTTATGTCACAGATGCTCCGCTCAGAAGACAGACTGATAAAGAGAAATCCAGAAAACTGAATAAAATAAAAACAACTGAAGTGAGTTTGTTGAGGTTCTGAGGTACCTGCACCTTTTCTGCATTCATTAGTCGGCACCTGAATGCTTGCTGAAATGTCCATTTTTTTTAATACAGTAGAGCAATGTGCTGGTAAAATTGATCCAATCCAAAAAAATAATAATAATAATAATAACAATAATAATAAAAAGTCAAGATAAAATAGCAGCTGCATTCATGGGTTTGTTGGATTTTTGTGTTTTGTTTTCTTGTTTTTTTTTTTTTCCAAACTTTTTCCTTGTTGTTTTTTGTCGGTTCTTTTTTTTTTTTTTTTTCCCAAATCCACTGAGTCTGGAAAGACAAAAGTGAACCAGGACCCAGGACTCAGATACTAGACTCTTTGGGTGGCAAGTCCACGTTGGTGACGGACGTCACGATGGAGACGAGGCAGTCCGAGGTAGTGCCGTTTACGGATTTGCGGATCTGCGCAATGCGCTCCTCGACACAGCCCGCCGAGAGCCGAGCCTCCGCGTCGTGGTCCCAACACTCTTCGATGGTCACGCAGAGCTGCGCCAAGCCCTGCAGACAAAACAGGGAGAAAACACCTTCAGCAACATCGTCTGCTCCCGGGACTGCCCTTGAAGAGGGTGGTGAGGTCCATTTGGCACAGCCTAACGCTGTAAAGAAAACCTCTCTGCGATGTGCCAATTACCACAGGATAAGCTTTAACAATTACTTTAAATATGTGTTTTTGCGTTTAAGTTTTTGTTTTCTAAGGTTCTAAGTCTTGGTCGCATCCAGCCCCTAAAGCACTTTTTTAATATCAAAATAAATCCCAAGATTCAGCAGTCAGAGCTTAAAAAGACAAGACAACAAGAATTACGATTCCCTTGATAAAACTGTGAGAGCTGGCAGCACTGTGTCAGTTACTATGAAACCACTGCTTTGTTTGCAATCACTTCTCTCCACATCCCCAAAATAACTGAATTCAACAGTGCTGGGAGAGCACAGCTCTTATTTGAACCCTCATTTGAAGTAGAACACTAATCTTTTTCTACAACCCACAGCTCTCCCTGACTTCCAGGCAGTGAGGTGGTACACCTAAGTCTAGCCAAATCCATGGCAGTTTGGTCAAAATAGAGGCATTTGGCTTCTTACTGAAGCCCTGTGAGACATCATCATCTGCTCAGTTTCCCAATCTGAGAAAAATCAGCTCTTTCATTAGAAACACGAGCCTGAAATGATCTACCTCTGGGAAACCCATGCTGCGTTTTGCTTCACTGTCTGCTTGCCTTCACGTCTAATTAATTTTTTCCTCAAAAAACTGTTCCAAGTCTTGCATGTCATCTAGCTTGTGAGGAACATGTCTCCAACGATATGGATCATTTTCTTTTTCTTAATGAAAGGACTTTATTTTCCATTCTTGCACCATATTAAAGGAGTCCTACTAAACCACCACACATTCAGCACTGGCTGATTAATCAGCTGGTTTACTCTCTAAATACAAGGGAAAAACAGAAAGGGGAGCACAAAGGTGTTGAGCAACCCCTCATTCCCCATCACTGATTCTCTCTAGGACTGGGAATGCCTAACAACATCCCTCATTCCCATCACACAGGAAAGTATTTTCCACTGTTAACCAGGAGGGACGTACAGGATGTTTTAGCCAGTGATCCTTGAACACAGGGCGCATCTTCTTGTGAACCACCACTTCTTGCAGGTCCTCAAGGGATGGGTGCTGACCTATTTCTTCTTCAAAAGGCAGCATGTATTCATCCACTGGACCTAAGGTGCACACAGAGAATCAGGTTAGCATAGAAATGTTCTCTGCAGAGCCACGTCCTCTCCATGCATGAGAGAGCTGTGGCTCCAGAGCAACCTCAACCCACTGCAACAAAGCCTGACATTCACATGTCACTGCAGACAAATGTGATTTACATTCCTCCTGCACAGTGGTCTTTGCTGTCCCTGCTGCTTGTCTGGACAGGCATTTTCCACCTCGTTGAGTTACGAATCCTATCCCTCAGCTGGGCCTCCTGATCCCACCGCTCTCCTTGAGGAAGCTGGCCTGGTAGTCTTTGATTTATTTTAATAGAAGGAGTAAATCAGTCCATCCTTCCCACATTTTAGCATAGCAATTCAACACACAATAACTTAGAGAAAGGTTTCAGCATGAGAATAGTTTCATTTTAGCACTGACTAGTGAGGTCAACTATATGCAACACGTAAGAGTTTCGTGCTTTGTGATCTGGCTTGCTCGTAGGTTTGAGTCAGCCCTGACATGCTGGAACCAGACGCAGTTGTCCCAGGTACCAGCTCCTAAGTGTAAAATGATTTCTGAACACTTTAGTTAGAACAGTTATGGCTGTGAACTGCCCTGGGCCATGGGAACGAGACAACTGCTATGAGTATCAGTGCAGATGCTGGATGGTAGCAATAACTTCCGCTTATTGAAACATCATTTGGCTTTTGGCAACGTGTAGATGCTCTCTCAAAAACAGCAGCCCATCTTAACTGATTGGCTTTCTCAGGGTGCTCTGTGGCATCACTAGCGGTTTCTCAGCAGCAAAAAGTGATCATTTGGAAGAGCAGAGGTATTTCAAGAGGGTCTTTCCAGCCTAAAATAAAAGAGCTGACCTCTTCATCTGGCCATGAACTGTGGCACCAGCAACATGATGTTTAGGTACTCTAAAAAATAAAATCACTAAACTGGCTTTACCATTTTTCTTGACTCAACACCAGTCACTAAATCAAACTGAAACACTCGCTCCAACAGATGGCTCAATAATGCTCATGACTTTCCTCTACTCTTCCTCCAAGAGGAATCCAAGCTATGGAGAGCTGAACTGGTGATCTCCAAGCAAAATCTGCTGTTTACACAACATCACTTCAGAGCTAGAAGTGCAAAAGGAAGCTTTCCCTCTGATTTAATGGTGCTGTGTGTAGCACCTGGAGCACCTGTAGCACCTGGAGCCAGCTGCTGCCTGAGAAGAGTGGAAAGGAGATCACAAAGGTGGCAGAAAAAAATCCAAGGGGATGTTTGGGGCACCTCAACAGAGAAGGGTTAAGCCTACGTGAGTGACCTGAGTACCACTGTTTCACCCTACTGTGCTCCTCAGTTCCTGCTCCTCCAGCATTTTACCTGGTTAGATTGTAAATTTTTGAAGAAGAGATCTTCTATTATCACACACCTATGCAGACATCCTAATTATAATCAAGCTCCTCAGTCCTACTGTAATGCTAACAAAAACATTTGAAGTCTAGCTGAGGTGCTGCTGTTCTATGAACTTTAGTTCAGACCACCCATATCTATACAAAAAGAAAAAGGTTGGAGGAAGCAGCCTGGGAGCTACTACAATGATATGATTGCTTCCCTGTCCAGGGGTGAGGTCCTGCACATGGTGAAGGAGTCACCAAAGGGCAGATGTGCTATTTGGACAGAAAAGATGCCTCACTGTCCCACATAATTTTAGGATAAAAAACCTGAGAAAGCAGACACCATGAAGTTCATTCTTTTAGATCCTTCAGGAGAAAGTGAGGTACTCCAAAGCTGTGGATAGAATAACTCAGCCCACTTCTGAGAGAAAGCCCACTTCATCAGCAAAAGTCAAAGATCAATAACTAATGACTTATGATAGCAAGGAAACGGGCTCGCTGACCCAGGCAGGTCCTTTCAGCCCCATGTTCCCACTATTTTGCTAAGGTGTTTTCCATTCAGGCTACCACACTGACCTGCATAAGCAAGGTGACAGCCAAGGTGGCTGTGTAGCTCTTCTCTGGAGCTCAAAGCCTACTTGGTCACAGGCAGGAATGCAGAGTGCCAAGGAGAGCAGCACAGAGCAAGCTCAGGACTAAAGGACACCCATCCACCCTACTCCTTCTCCTGAGTTCTCAGCAAATTTGCAATGCAACCAACGTAGTAAAAAGCACTTTGAGACTTGAACACTACAAAGGTTATTATCTACAGAGAGTGACAGCTTATGTTAAAAAACAAATGCAAAACAGGTTCACTGCTTAAGAAAAATATGCCATTGGTTGTTATTTTTTTTAAACAGAGACAGGGTCATTCTCTGGACCACCAAACCACACTGAAACCAAGCCCTTCCCAGGGAAGAGAGGATCTTTATTCTTACCATCAACTGCTCTACATCTGGAGACGAGCTCCCACAACACCAGTCCCATCGCATACATGTCTATCCTCAGGAACGCATCTCGTTGGAAGTTGATGGCTCCCTCTAACACTTCAGGAGCCATATACCTCCTTGTTCCCACCTGCAGAGAAAAAACACAACTCAAGTTACATTCCAGTTGGGCCCCTCAGCCTCCTCTGGCTGGAGATGAGTGACAGCTGCTCTAATTACCCTTAAGGCCACTGCTGCTAAAGGTGCACCTCACTTGAAAAACAAGCAAAAGGGAGCTGTTTCTTCTGACACTGATTCTCATTAAGATCACTGGAGTCCAGATAAGCTACATGAAGGGAAAAGCCAAAGTGCCTGGCTACGTGTGTGATATTCATTCAGTGCACACTACAGGTCCAATTTAAACACAGTGTGGCACGCTGAGTATGGATGAAATCCTGCCCTCCCTGCATCCCACTGCTTGTTGCTCCAGCATCACACACAGCATGAGAAAATGCTGTCTTTGGAGACACACAAAACACCTGAGGTCAAGTCAGACTTGGTTATCCTAGTCATTGAAAGTCCAATCCTCTTTCACTCAAAGAAAAAAAAAAAAATATATAAAAAAAAGCAGATAAGAGAAAAAATTGATATATCCTGAAATGGTAGGAAAAGGTGTTGGTTTGACAGGCCCGGGTAAAACAAGTCTCCTGCATCCACAGAAACAGTAAAACATGAACCCTGCAAACTCTGGTTTGCCATGGTTTGGAAAAGATCTCATCTTGTTTTGAGGGAGATTCAGTCCTCATTAGAGTGCCTCCCTTGTGTGTTTACTTTAGCCCATTATGTAGGAGAATGGAGAGGACAGCAAGGGAGAAGCACCTTTTTAATATAGGAATTAAAACACCTTTAATATTTTCCTTTAAAGAAATTCTCATCTGTTCTTGCTGTTACTTGAGGCACTGAGGACAGGGGGAAGCCAGGATGTGGAAAGGTGTGTAAAATACAGAAATAGTAAAAAAAAAAAGGTGACAAAAATGAGGAAAGCTGGAGAAGGCTAACCTAGAAGAGAGTGTTCACTCCTTCTCAGATAAAGGTAAAAAAGGAAGACTGCACTGAAGCTGGGAATTAAGAAAACCCCAGAGACACAAGGACAGGATGATGGATTTGTTGTGCCCCAGTACGAGAGAAGAATGAGGGGCCACTCACTGTTATGCAAAGGCAGAAAGTTAAGAACCCATAAAAAATGTAGTCAATTGTTTACAGAGTGCACAGCCAGCTGTGCCAATGGTCAACCAAGCAGCCATCCTGGCTGAATTCTTAAAATCAAACTAATAATTTTAAAAGTAATGATATTTGTATTGTAGAATTAATATTAATATTAATATTTAGGAGTATTAATATTTGTGTTACAGTCTAGATAAGTATTCTGTGCAGTGGTAGGAACTGGCTGACAGGTGACACCCAGAGGGGGGTGGCAAATAGCTCCTTTTTAAACTGGTAACCTGTCCCAGGTGGGGTCCCCCAGGGACCCACATGGGGCCCAACAGTGTTTAATATCTTCCTAAGTGATGTAGATCATGGGATCATGTGTAACCTGGTAAAGCTCGCTGATGATATCAAACTGAGTCAGGAAGTGGACACTTTGGAAGGGACAGACACCCCGCATGAAGACCTGGATAGGCTGGAAGGGTGGGCTAACAAGAATCTTAATAAGTTGGAGTGCTGGAAGCAGCTCTGTGAGAAGGGTCCTGTGGGACTACAAGCTCAATATGAATGTACATGGAGCTTCTGTGGCAGAGGGCCAGTGGGATGCTGAGCTGCACCACCAAGGGCATCACTAGAAAAAATAAAAGAGTCATTATCCTGCTCTACTCGGCTCTTGTCAGGCCACATCTGGAATACTGCATTCAGCTTTGGTCCTTGCTACACGAAAAATATGTGGACAGGCTGGAGAGGGTCTGGAGAAGGGCCACAGAGATGATCAAAGGGCCAAGAAGGCTGTCTTATGAGCAAAGGCTGAGAGAACTGGTTTATTCAGCCTTGAGAAAAAAAGGCTGAGGGGAGACCTGGTCACAGTGTTCCTTGTTCACAGCATTTAAAGGGTGGCTGCAAAGAAGATGGAGACTCTCTGTTTACAGGGAATCAAATGGAGATGAGAGGCAATGGGTACAAGTTACTCCTGAAGATTCTGACTGGACACAAGAGGAAAGTTTTTCACAATGAGAACAATCAACCATTGGAATAATCTCCCCAGGAAAGTGGTGGATACCCCAACACTGGACACTTTGGAGAGTCAGTTGGACAGGGTGCTGAGCCATCTTGCCTAGGCTGTGCTTTTGCCAAGAAAGGTTGGATCAGATTATCCTTGAGGTCTCTTCCAACACAAGATAACCTCTGATTCTATGATTCTGTGAATATTTATTACTGAAACCATAAAGAATCAACTAGCCCTGTGCCTGAAGGAGGAAGTCACCTGCCTCCAGGCCTGGGGGGACCTCACCTGCACAGTGGTCAGGAGGGTTCAAGCACTCTCCCCACTCACCAGTATTAGAGCATCTCCTGGAATATATGTCTGAGCATAAGCTCTTATGGAAAAATACATATCTCAAAGAGAATTACATGCATCTATACAAACTACCACCCTGACTCTCGAGGGGCTGTGGCAAGCCCAATTTTTTAAAATGTTAAAGATAATGATTACCTGTCCATGAGTGTCCCCTGGAGGTTTTCCAGGTTCAAACCGTACAGCTAGTCCAAAATCAGCTAGCACTGCCGTCAAGTCATTCTTCAGCAAGACATTTTTACTCTTGAAGTCCCTGTGGACAAGCCAAGAAGTAAGTTTGGGAAGGTTTTACTATGGCACACATCTAAATCACAATGCAACACAACACAATGTTGCATGTCTACAGAAGTTGAATATCTACAGGCTTAGCAGCTCCCAGTAAATCATCTCCTTCCTTCCTTTCTTCCCCAGATTCCCAGCACGGTCAGTGCTGACAAATTTGGCTGCCTCTCTCTGCCCTTGTCACTAAAACACAACCAAGCAGCCCTGAGTTGTCCCGCACAGAGTCAGCCGAACTCCCCACTGAATTAATCTCAAAATGGAATCTGATCTGAAGGGGCTATTTTAATTAAAGCAAGCAGTATATAAGGCACCATTTCTTGCTCCAAGCACCAGCTCAGGACCTCCAACTTCAGGCACTTCCCATTCCCAACAATAAGAACAAGACAGGTTAAGGGAGTACATTACTCTTTATCCTACTAAGGATGTTTGCTCCTATCTACAAAATTAGATCTTTCTGGAAATCAGTACCTGCTGGTAGGACTCTCTCCACCCTGACTACATACTTCAACAGACTTTGGCCATAGTCATCTATTAGCCTTCTGTTTTAATTGCTGGATCGATCTTCCCTGGAGAATTCAGGGAAGCAAGCAGAGAAGGGGGTGAGCCTACACTCAGACACACTGTCAGGATTGGACTGGGCAGCTGACAGGCAGGTGTTAAGCATTTGCAGTAGAGATGGTGGGTCTGTTCTTGAAGGGGACATTTGTGTCAGTCCTGTGCTGCAGCAGGATCATTTCAGGGCAGCTCAGGTGAATCTGCAGGGGCTGGAAAGGGTAGGGGGTGGAGGAAGATCACACCGAGATGCCTAACCACTTAAGCCCTGTTCCCTGGGCTTCCTGCATTTTCATCTGAAAAGGAATGTTTGGCAATCTAATTAAATTACAGACCTTAGACAGCAGATGGCAATTGTCCTGTATGCTCAGCATTATAATTTCCCTATCATCAATTCACTCGGTGACCCTGCTGATTGCAGGACATTGCAGGCCTGCACAAAATAATTAATGAGGGCAGATACAATTGTTCCACACTGGAGAGACCTGTCAAAATTCTTTGTGAAGAGAGAAACTGCTGGACCATAGAGAAGGGCTGCTCTCTGCAGCCTCAGATGCCAGAGCATCAGCTCAAAGCACCGTGAGCAAAAATCATCCTGTGCCACCCAGCCCCTGATTCTGAGCTTAAAAAATCAGGAGAGAGGATTTATCCTTTCTAAGCTAAACACAGCGTGATGGGCATTTCTGGCTTGAGGATTAAGATGGGGGAAGTGGGTGTGAAGTTGAAGAGCATCATACAGCCAGTGAACCCCAGCAGAAAACAGCCTCCATCACCTCTGGGGACACAGTACAGCTTCGCAGAGCCTCCAAAACATTGGTACACATCTGTTACACAGAAAAAAACCAGTATTTACCTAATACCTGTCATCTTAGAGGCTGCCTGCTTCCATGCTATAGCAGTTTCTGCACAGGCTTAGAAAACAGCCATCATCTAATGAGATGGATAAACTCCTTTGCTCGCTCAGCATTAGGGGATTATGCCCTCAGGATGGTACAGATTGTGCACGAGATTTTTGCGAAACAGTGGCTCAGCGAGGCCCACACAGAAATTGTCAGACAGTCTGCCTGAACAATATAGTTCTGCTGTGATGTGAGATGTAAACCAATATTATTGTAAGGGCATGTGTTGCTACTGCTCACCCTCACTGGCCCTTGGGCATGCAACAGTTAACTCCTACATCTTGATACCTGATAAAGGGATTTCCCTTTTCACTTCCTTCCCCCCCCATTTCCATAAATTCGCCCATTTTCCATGCTTTCCTTCCTTCCTTCCACAAATCACCTTGAACTGGCAAGTGTTAGCTGCAGTGCAAACATATCCAGGCCAGGGAGAAGGACCTGATCCAAACCATGCCAACTAGAATTCCCACTAACATCGCATGCATTACACCATCCTAAGATGATCACTGATAAAGGAAAGTGGCATGAAAAGAAGAAAATATTCTTTTCCATATAACGCTTCAAAACGTTAGGGAACACAGAGCAAGCAGATTATGAGTAATGGGTGCACTATCTCGACTTAGACACTAGAGATTTTATTTTCAGCTTCCACGTGGGGGCACTTTCGCACCAACAAGCGATTCCATAACCTTAATCCTCCTTACAATGCTGGGGGCCAGTGAGGAGTTGGCTGAACCTCTGCCCAGCAGGGACTGGGGAGTTCCACCTGGCAATCCCAGCATCTCGGTGCGCACTGTGGGAAGCCTTTCAAAAATACCCCCTCCACCCCCCTCCCCAGATTTAAAATGCATTTAGTGTTTTCTTTTAAAAACAAAATTAAAAGGAGTGGGGTAATCCAAGAGAAATCCCCTGTGTCCTGAAATCCCTCTTCCCTAGGTATGTGCTAAATTCACACAAATGCTGCATTCTCCAGCTTTTGTCATTTGCTAAATGGACGAGGACACTAATGAGCACGATCTGTTGCTTTAAAGCCTTTCTACAGCCTTACTCTGTTCCCCACCCTCAGGAATTTTCATCTATAAACCACTGCCTTTATTCCACAGGGACAAATGTCAGGGACACAGGGGTCAGCTCCAGGAGCAGCACAAAGGCAGCTGCAGGCTCTTTCAACAGCCCCCAGCCTCTCCAAAACCTCCAGGTTTGGGGAGGTGGGGTGTTTGGGGGCCAGGGACACCCTTGCAGAAACAGAGATTATCTTGCCGTACATAAAGCCGGTCCCGCTAGATCGGGTACAAATTGCTGCAGCTGGACATGGGGTTTAAGTCCCTCCTGGATGAAATGTGGTGGGTGGTGGGGGAGTATGGCTGCGGATTACGGCCTGTAGCGCGCGTAAATCCCTTCTGGAAACCGCCCCCACCCTGCCCTGCCACCAGCAAACCACTCAGGAGAGATGTTTTAGTCCAGGGCAAGCAATGTGGGACTCTGGAGAAGGGCCAAAGCAATGGGGATGGTTTAACCCACTGCTTTCTGGATTTGCACTGTCCCCATGGTGTTGCCGCCCAGGTAGGTTGAAGCATGTGCCAGGAGGTCTCAGAGGCAGGTGGTGCCCGCTCTGGTGTCTCTCATAATCACCCTGGCATGATTTGGGCTCTATAAAACTACAGTGAAAAACAAATAGCGGCCATTTTCTGTGTTTCCAGTTTCTCCATTACTTACCTAGTGATCAAAATCTCTGTGGGGAGACACATGGTGGAGTTATCAGTCTAAACCAGGGAAAAATAGGGGTCCAACTCCTGGTACAGCCATAGAAATACATAGACTATAATGTGATGATATTATCAAGCAAAGTCCTTTCAAAAAGCAGTTCTGCAGCAAACAGTATTCTCTTCCTACTACACATCAAGAGAAGAGTTGATGGAAGAGGGAAGCACCTACCCTTCGGACATTTGCCACCAACTACTACTAACCATACTGTTTCATGGACGTGACACTTATTTGCTCTTTACCATTTCATGTGTGGTTGAAAAAAATTCTTGTCTTAGCATAGGATTTATTGGGTTAAAAGGCATTTAATTCCTAAAGGCACAACCTCCTCCTCCATTCAACAGCATCATTTCAAAGAGGCTGCGAACGTTTACACACAGCACCTGAATGGTGTCAATGAAAGAGGCCATACCTGTGTGCTATAGCAGGTTTGTGTCCTTCACCTTTGCACCAAGGGACGTCTTCATGAAGGTAGGACAAGCCACGGGCCATTGTTTCTGCAACATGGCAGAGCTCATTCCAGCTGATAATGTTGCCCTTCAGGTAATCCGTCAGAGAGCCCTGTGGAACAGGACACTGTCAGTTCTTAATCTCAGATCCTGCGATGTGACAGATGCGCCAAATCATCAGTTCAGAGAATGGTTTGGAGAGTGCTCGAGAAATTTGAACCTTGATTTAACAGGGGTGAAAAAATCACCAGTGGAAGTAAAAGAAGGAGAAATAAAAATCAGGAGCGTTCATCAATTTTCAGCCCTTGACAGCACAGACCTCCTGATGTCTGCTTATTTGCCAGGGAAAAGGAGGGAGGTAAGGATGGGAAAAAAATCACCTTAAACCAAAGCAATTCATTTAACCTAAAAATGGGGAAAGACTTCCATGCAAGAAGATCATGCATGGTATCAGCTGGTTGTGGCAATGATTGACTCACTAGACCTTGGATTTAACAGAGGGATAACGCTGCTGGCTCAACCCTGGATTTGCACATGTTTTTTTTATTTTAAGTGTTAGTCATATTTCATAACTAAAGCAGTCTATGAAACAGGAGATGGGACCCAAGTCTCAAAACCAAACACAGACCCCATATACAAAGGGCAAGCTAGGTCTGCAGTGGTCTGTGACACCCAGCTCCCATGAGCTCCTCTACACACATTAAGAGATGGTGGCTACCACATACATGAGCTGTGGTCTTTTGCGCCTCTCTCTCTTCCTAGGTCCCACCTTTATTAATCCTGTGTTTGTGTAGGAAAGCCTTGAACGCTAAAGGAAGGGCCTCTGAAGGAGGAGAGCAGGAGCACTTCACTACCACATAGTCATGGCCCACTGGATAGATTACATGGGAGCTTCTGGGTGAATATAAGACACCAAATCCTACTGCTTCACAACCAGCTACCTCTCTGTCTTTCCAAAATGTACGTGCAATGATACATTACCTTGTCGTGGAAAGCTGTGATTAGCCAGAGCTCCGTTTCCAGGTTTGTCCCTCTTTTCTCTGCTGCGATAAATTGCAAAAGGTTCTCATGCTTCATGCCAGGAGTGTTGAAAATCTCCCTCTCACTCTGCCAAGACTGCTTATCCTAAAGCAGGGAGAAATACATAATCAAAGATCATGCTTCCCTTTAAAGCAAACAGCTCCTTCAGTTCAGTCAGAGCTGCTCACAGTAGTCTTAAAATCATCTTCCAATGTTTGGATCTGATGTATCCCTTCACAAAGAGGCTGCTTTCCTAAAGAGTAGATGCTGGAGAAAGACTGGAAGTTGCTGTTCTTAGTCTCTCCTCTCCAAAATTATACTCAGATATTCCTAAAGCCCATGTGTGGGAAGGGGGGAGGAACCCAAACTCAACCTCACTGAGAAATAAGATTTCCTAAAGATGCTTGAAAGAATAAAGCCCGTGCATACAGTACCCAGATCTGCCTTGTAGCTGTAATTGTTGCACTTGCAAAATCTAATCTAGGTTCTTTTGAATATTTACTAGTAGGTCACAGCTGGCTTGGACAGAAGATGTGCAAATCTCCTTTAGCAACGCTATGACAACAAATACGGGGTGAAAAAGTAATGAAGAAGGAGACAGTGGAGGAGCACAAAGATGTTCTAGCTATTCTTCTATCATTTGACTTTTGATTGCTTTTTTCTTTTCATCTGCAATTCCTAGAGAATCAAGTCAGGACTGTTCAAAGGTTTCCTAGAGCAGAAGACGTGAGCTGACAGAAATGCTACAGTCCAATTAGCTCTCACAGTGCTGGGGCTCTGCCTTTGGAAGCTGCAAACTGTTTGCTAGGTTTGGGTTCAGATTTACAACCTACCCAGCAGGACACACAAAGCTGGGGCTCTGGCCCTTTGTGTGCACTCTGGGCGCTGCAGCTGCTCGCTGCCTTCCTGGACCTAAACACAGGCATTTGCTGTGAAATTAAAATACCCTGCAGGTTTCAGAATATGCTTGGTTTTGCCCTTGTTGCAACAAGTACTACTACAGGAAGCATTTGGTAATGAGACAATGCAGAGAGAAGTGTAGGAAGGAAGGGTCCTTGAACTTTTTCTCCCAGCACGAGAGCCCAAATGCATCTTTGTTATGGTCTTAAAAACCATAATCTCCATAGGCACTTAGAGCGTCTCAGCACCAGTGAGGAAGCCTGGCAAGTGAGAACCTAATGCAGCACCCTACTCACCTGAATAGGGAAGATTTTCACTGCTACGTAGTCATTCATCAGCTGAGCCTTCCACACACAGCCAAAGCGTCCCCTTGCCTTGATCTCCAAGAGCTGCAGAGGCTTTAGGCCAACCAGGGGAGAAGGGGGTGGTGGGCCAGGGTCCTGCACAAGAGAAAAACACTGTCACCACCTGAAGGTGGACTGTAAAACGAAGTGATGGGGAGGAATGGAGTGACTGCATGTGGGGAAAGAAGTGTAAAGAAGCCACATTTTATTTAATACAAATTATTTAGATATACTGTTTGTGGTAAGAACAGCCTGAAATTCCCTATCTTGCTCTGTAAGGTATTGGTATAGAACACATAAAATCATCTACATCTCCAAGTGTCACTTTGTGTATTGAACTACTGCCTGCCACGCTCTGGTAAAACCTGAATACTCCTATATAATAGCAAGAGCTATTTTGGGCTTTAAAACACCGATGACCTCAAGTCTACCTTCTGTCAAAAGAAGGAACCTCTTGATCTTTGTGACCCAACAGCCAACTTCACCTAAAACCTCCCACTGCTTTGCACTTCATTAGGAATGTTCCACATAACCTCAGCAATGGGCAGTAAACAGGTCTGTCAGCATCATAAAGATCGTATCTATTTAAACTCTGCATTTGTCCAGGAGGGCAGTGGAACCCTGCAGGATGTGTGGGGTTGGAGCTCTGTCCTACCTGCTTTCAGATGGGAAAGGTTCACAGCATCATAGAACCATAGAATGGTTTGGGTTGGAAAGGGACCTTGAAGATCACCTCGTTCCAAACCCCCTGCCATGGGCAGGGAAACCTTCAGTTAGACCAGGTTGTTCAGAGCCCTATCCAGCCTGGTCTTGAACACGTCCAGGGATGGAGCATGCACAATTTCCCTGGGCAATCTGTTCTGGTGCCTCACTACCCTCACGGTAAAAAATTTGTACCTAATATCTAATCTAAACCTACTTTCTTTCAATTTGAACCCATTCCCCCTTATCCTGTCACTTCACACTCTTGTAAATAGTCTTGCCCCATCTTTTCTTCAAGTTTCCTTCAGGTACTGGAAGGCTGCACTTTGGTCACCCCGAAGCCTTCTCTTTTCCAGAGAACAACCCCAGTTGTCTCAGCCTTTCCTCACAGGAGAGGTGCTCCACTCCTCTGATCAACTTGGTGGCCCTCATCTAGACTCACTCCAACAGGCCAATGTCCTTCCTGTGTTGAGGACCCCAGAGCTGGATGCAGTACTTGAGGTGGGATCTCACCAGAGCAGAGCAGAGGGGCAGAATCCCCTCTCTCGACCTGCTGAGCCCATAGTATGGGCTGTAATGGGCAGAGGAGGGAGGGAGAGGTAGCAGCTCCAGCCTTCAGAAGAAACCAGAAGGCTCAAGGGACAGCAGAGCCAGCAAGGACCAGTTCCTGATGGCTTTGGATGATGAGGATGACCTCCTGCATGCATTCTCTGAGGGCTCATAAAAACTGAGCCTCATCAGGGAAAGCGTCTTCCCTCATCCCATAAAGCTGGTAGAAGTTTATCATCTCTCTGATCTCTGCTCCTCTACAAAGTTGTCTGAAATAAGGCAACGGGTTTGAGAGTTTGGGAGGAAGGGTGGCCATCAAGCAGGGCTGTGTAACTCCATCCTTCAGGAATCTCGGGTATGGTGATAACCCCATCAAAATCCATCAGTCTAACACTAACACAGAGGACAACTATACCACCAACTTCCAAAAACAGAGAAGAAAAGTTAGGCCACCATAAAAGAGAGAAGCAGAAGCAGATTTGAACATACACTGAGCAGCCGCTGTGCCTTTTGTAAGGCCCGAATAAAGGGGAGCAACTCCCTCACCTCAATAATGTCGACGTGCCCGTAGGGAGGCTTGCGGTGCCGGTACATCCAGAATGCCAGGAGGATGGCCATGGAGAGGACTGCGATGGGGAGCAGGGAGTACACCAGGATATTGAGCAGGGAGGGCGTTGGCGGCGGAGGCTCGTAGATGACTGCGAGAAACGAGCAGGGTAAACGAGGGAAAAGGACCCTTCAGGCAAGCAACAGCACTGGCAGCTACACACATAGATGTAACCAAACCCCATCCATCCTTCTGCTCCAAAGCTGACAATGCTTACTGGCGTGTCCTGTCACACCCAACACTATTCACAAGGCCCCATGGTTTTCTCTGCTCCACATGGCTGTCAGTAATGGAGTTACAATGGTCCAAACCACACTTTGCAAGCTGAGCCTCCATCTGACCTTTATTTAAGATAGGTATTTCTTGCTGGTGTACATAAAAGCAGAACATTTCCTGCTCTTAACCATTCCAAATGTATTAAGAGAGCACGAAATCCCTTGCAGCTTTGCTTTGCCTTTTACAGTGATTGACAAGTTGTCAGTTTTTAGTAAAATGCTGCCGGAGCCACAATCAAATGCACTATTCCCACAGTAGTTCTTGTTCCAAATTACATCAGTGCAGTTGAGACACAAACAATGGGAATACTAAATGGAGCCATGTTGCTATGTTGGAGACAGGGAAGGAAAAAATAGCAAGACTTGCCAAATCAAACAAAAAACTGTGAGAGAAAGAATATTTGCCACTAGGTTGCTAGGGGTACATTAATAACAGGAGATAATAAAACCCATGTAAACAATTAAAAAACAAACAGGAAAGCCCAGGAAAATCTGGCAACGGTCTATTGGAACATCTCAGCAAATGCAGGTAGTTCATAGCAGAAGAAACCATCCTATGGAAAAGATTCACCTGCTTTAATAGTTTTTATTGAATGATACTTTAGAAAGTGTTCAAGAATCAACATTTTTCTATTAGCCTCTGAAGAAGGTTATTACTTTTCTTCCTTGATGTATATCCACAGACTCTGAAAGCTGACACACACACCACACCCCCTATTCCCTTTCAATCCCCAAACTGACAAAATAGAACGAATTGCAAAAATCCCAAATGCTCAAGGTATTTGGAGACCTGTGACCTATGAAAACTAACGGAGAGAGTGTCAAATACCTTTTAAGAGTTTGAGGCTAGTTCCATGCTGTATAAATCACTCTGCCCTCTTCCCCTTGTGCAGGACTTTGTTTTGTAATATCCCACCCTGAATCGTCCACCATAAAGAAAACCTAATCCTTTTTGATGGTATCCCAGGTATTGGTACAACAGGCTTTACCCACAGAGTGAAACAACCTTAAAAAACTGCTACTAAAGAACTGTAGTAAAAGGATTTATGGACTTTGTAACCAAAACATCCAACAATTCAATGTTGGTATGAAGCTGAGTCAGAGGAGGTTTAGGTCAAATATTAGGAAAAGGCTCTTCACCCAGAGGCTTGTTGGGCACTGGAATAGAGTTCCCAGGGAACTGGTCATGGCCTCAAGCCTGACAGAGTTCAAGTGACATTTGGAGAACACTCTCACACACATGGTGGGATTCCTGGGGGTGTGCTATGCAGGGCCAGGAGTTAGACTCGATGATCCTTGTGAGTCACTTGGAACTCAGGACATGCCATGCTTTTATGAAAGTCATCAGAAACTGGGTCTAGAGGAAGAGATCCCAACTCCCCCTCCTCCCGGTCACTCACCTTCTGGGCCGGTGACTTCAGGCAAATGGGTAAATTTCTCATTGCAATAGTTGCCCTCGCAGCAGCAGAAAAACACTTGAGGGTTTTCTTCTGTGGCTACGCACTCCTGCCTGCACCAGGGAGGGACAGACATGGCAATTAAGGAAAGAGAAAAACAAGGTCAGCCAACTTCTACCTCTTGTCTTTGGCCACCAACCCGCCCCAAACTGTCCTCTCCACACACCTTCTCCTGCGCCTGCGCTGCACAGATCAGCAGTCTCCACTTACAGAAAACAACTTGGCACTCAAATACCCTAGTGGATAGCAAAGACCCTTGAAAAGACCGTAAAAGAAACAAATGTTTCCATATGTACTGAGGGGCATTAGACGGCGAGTAATAAATAACAGCCGCCGCTGCTAACGCAACGAGAAGGAGAAAAACGACGGAGAGACGCCTCGGTCCCTGAACAGTGCCCTTCCCACAGCCCAGATGTATGCTGCCAGGGGAGAGAAGTATTTGATCATGCAATTAAAGATTGTGCCATAAAGCACATGTGACGAGGGCTGAGCTAAGACTGCTCCCACAGCCCTGAGCATCACCTACTCTACGCACTCGAAGGGCAGCAGACACCAGCAGGAACAGCTCTGCTGCTGCAGGCAGGAGGGAGGCTGCAGGTTCAAGGGCATGTAGTGATAGGACAAGGTAATGGCTTGAAACTGAAGGAGTGCAGGTTTAGATGAGATACTAGGTACAAATTCTTTACTGTGAGGGTGGTGAGGCACTGGAACAAGTTGCCCAGAGAAGTTGTAGCTGCCTCATCCCTGGAAGTGTTCAAGGTTATGTTGGATGGGGCTTGGTGCATCCTTGGTCTTATGGAAGGTGTCCCTGCTCATGGCAGGGGGTTGGACTGAGATAATCTTTAAAGGTCCCTTCTAACCCTAATCATTCTAGGATTCTGTGATTCTCATTTTGGGTTTTTTGGGGTTTTTTTAAGTTTAATTTTCAAGTGCCATCTCCTCCTTTAAAAATCTTATTCCTGCATAAAATTAGGTTGCAGCTCCCATTTTCTGCCTTTGCCTGTAATCCAGGTAGTGCTACAGCCTTTCCAGCACTGAGATTTCCTTCCACATTGTGCAAGGCGTTAGGGGATCTCCACGGATCAGACCAACTCCACTTCCACACATCCTCCCTCTCCCCACAGATCAATGCCAAAAGAGATGTGCAGTGATTTTTGCAGTGCTCTAGCAGTAATTTCTTTCTAGTTCTTAAATGCTGCTTCCCTTCCCAGCCTCCTTTTGCTATGTTACCCTCTGCTTTTAGTTATTACGCTTGCAAAGTTGCTCTCCACAGAGAGCTGTATCAAACTATTTCCTGAAGCCCAGCTAAATTATATGCATAACTTCCTTCCCTCAACCACTTGGAGGAAGTAGCAAAACAATCATATGTGTTTGACATTATTACTCATTTCTGAATCCATGCCAAGCCTCCCTGTCTGTGGTATCACTGACACACTGCCACGAGAAGAACAGGAAGGGCTCTCTTCAGTCTTAACACTGGGTAGTTTTCAGTGCTTTATTCCTCTTGGGGGGAAAAAAACTGGCTATAGCCAAACTGTCTCCTGCAAGGTCTCAGCAAGGAAGCACTTGGTTTGTTTTTCAGGCTTTTATTTTTTGCTTCAAAGCAAAAAAGCAGCCATTTGACTTATTCAAATGAACAAAGATGTTTCAACAAGTTAAACATGTTTCCAGATGCTTTTTCATGAAATCAGATAACAAGCCCTTTGGATTTAACAGCATCAGTGTTGGAGTCTTCAATAGAAAACACATCCTTTGCTAAATCTGTTGGTTAAGAAATCAAGCTAATGAGCGAAAACAGCCTGTTCCACATCTGCAATTCATTATCCCTGTCTTTGAGTTCGTGTACGCTCAGGGAAGCCACCCAGGTACGTATGACATGTTATACTTAGCAAATATTACAAATGAGCATTACAGTGGGAATGACACATTTTTCTGTGGCAGTGAGGGCATGTTTCAGAGTGTTTCACGTGCTCACATCCAAGGGAAGGTGTACATGACCTCCCTGGCGGGTCTGTGTAAATAAACGAGAGCACACAAGTTGATTTTTAAACACTACCTTTTTCCCATAACCTTAAATGCACATGTGCCACGTTCTTGTTTCCTTAAGATAAAGAACAGAGTAAGGAGCCGTCACCGTCGAAGTCCCAACTCTTGCACTCCTTAATTGTGACAAGGAGGCAGTACTTGGCACATGCTGCCTGTGCTCCGAGAGCACCAGCAGCCAGCAGAACAGGACCATACCCTGCATCCAGGGAGATACGAGCACAGGTGCGCCTCCCAAGGCTGCTTCCAGAAGCTCAGCATCCAAAGGTGCCAAAGGCAGAAACAAAAAGGGCATCAGCACAGAACCATTGATCAAAAAAATCATCTTTTTAGCCATCTTTGCCATACTGGGATGCATGAATGTCTGCCAAGGGCACTCAAGGGAAGAGAAAAAGTAAAAAGGACTGGATTTAAAGAACCTTTACTCCTTTACTTATTAAAGCTAACCTTTATTTCAAATGTTGCTTTTGACACTTGTACTGTTTGTTAATTCTCAGAAGATCGTTTAGCTTTGCCCTGGAACTTGTGGCTTTGAAGAGTCAGGCTATGGGATACTGGATACACAATTCCAGGGCTGCAAAAGGCTGGTGAGGAGCCCTGGAAAGTTTTTACCATTATAACAGAGCAACACATTATGACAAAGTTTAAGAACCACTACATCCCTGCAGAGGCACTCAGTGACAATACAAGTGTCACTGGATATGAGAGCAGGCACTGAAAGGAGAAATCTGTTTACAGTAAACACTTCTGCCTGGAAGTAGGAAAATACAGTGACCTTCTGTTCTCAGAAGGATCGGCATTAGGATGACTAATGGGCCAAGGAGGATTGATTTATTGGGAAAGAAGAAAAAATTTAACTATATATAGAGCTTGGCTCCTCAATTGGCAAGGGAATAGGTGTGGTGGGAAAGCAACCCTAGAGCTAATAATAGAATGAAGACGAGGAACAACTCACAGTCAAGATAAGCTAAGACAATGGGCACAAAAGCAGGGAAAGTGTACAGCACCAAAAGGAGAAAACTCTTTAGCCATGGGACAAATCTAGTCCCAGCTCAACCCCACAGTGCACAACCCAATGCCCTAAAACTTTTGGAATAAGAAGCTACAAAGACGCATAACTGGGAATTTCACAAATGTGAGCTCAACCCACATTGGTGGTATATCAAGGGAAGTCCTTGAATTTTATGTTGCTAACCCTTATTGAAAGCGTCGGGCTTGGCTTAGTTGGGTGGTCGTTGGGTTTTTTTTTAAGAGAAACACTGAGCCTAGAGCTACTGAACACTGTCCTTTTCAACAGTGAAACTTCAGAGGGCTGTTTTCTTTAGCTGTAATTCTTTTCCCCTCTGTGGAATTGCATCAAGGGAAATGAGAAAAGACTAGTTAATTTTCCCAGCTATTTAATGAGGCTGGAGCCTTCGTACTACAAAACCTCACTCCTTTTCAGATCACTACAGGCAGTGACACACAAACTCACATGTTGCTTTTCCTGCCTCACTCTTTCTCCCAGCCTACCTCTCCGACTCAGCCAAAGAACAAACTTTTTGCAGCATCACAAATGCCAGAATACCTCAATCCCTAACCACCCCCAGATATCTGTGCTTTTCTAGACAGCTCCAAATGATTCCAAGTTTTCCTTTATATCGCCAAATGCTCTTGTAAGAACATGTTGCTCTTCACTTGATGGTACAGGACAGGTTTTTCAATGAATGCCAGAATTATCAAGGTTTTGCTAAGGAAAAAACAGAACCCAAACAAAACACAAAACCCCTAAAAGTGCCTTTTGCAGCTTCTATTTAGAACATCAAAGCAGGTAACTGACAATTCTGAGGGCTGCATTAGCAACAGAAGTAACTAGAGGGGATGAATGGGTCAATGGACTCGGACTTGCTTTCTTTTCCTCAATGCACAAATTATGAGCCTTTATATTTAGAGGAACAGTTAAACCTGTATTTAGGTAAACCAGTTAGGCCATTACCTGTCATAGCAGTTGAAGTCATCTAACCAGCAACCTTTCTTCACCAGCTCGATGGAGCCCGAGTTGTTTCTCCAGGAGGCGTAGCAGTGGAGACGCTTGTCCTTCTCCCCCTCGCAGCGCTCCACGCCACTCTGGTTGGTCTTCTCCAGCTCCCAGTTGGCATTGTAGTAGATGCACTCCCTCGTCTCAGCCTCCCCATGGCCCGGCCCTGAAGAAAAATTCAAACCCCAAGAATGTTCAAGTAAAATCAGAAATAGATACTGGGAAACACATCTCCGCATGGCTCCATTTTGGGTGATGCATACATTTGATTCCCTGGGAGCTAAACAGCTCGTCAGTGAGAGCTTCAGCACAGCACGGAGATTATTCTTCTTCTCTGGTGTGAGGTGGGAAATGGAGAGGTCAGGTTTGCCTAAGCTCACAACAGGAGCTCATGGTGAAGTCAAGAGCCCAGCTGAGACCTCCCCAGATCTCCTCTGGCCAGTGCGTCAACCACAGGACCTTAAAAAGGGGATACATGTGCAACCCATACCCAGTTCTCTAGCCACAGAAACCCTGTTTGGGAATAAACAACCTCCCAGGGTGCTACGTGATGCTTGTTGGCTCTTCACACAATAGTCACTCTCACTCCTCACCACTATTTTGGAAAACATCACGTAAAAATAAATAGTTGCTTACATGAGTAGGACAAAACTGAGAACAGAAAACATTCATCCCACAGAGGAGGGCCAGACCATTCCTCACTTAGGTCCGAGTTCAGGCTTATTTGAGTAAGTCTCCATATGATAAATGCAATATTTTTAGCTGCAGATGACACAGCTCATGGTGCCTCTCTACCCATGCCAGACCTTCAGCAAAAGACAACTCTGTTCCCCAAACAACTCTGGTCATCCAAATGGATGCTTGGTCATCACAAACAAAGGAGTCTGTGGGTCTTTTTCCCTTTAGAGCTTTGTACCAAAGGACCATGAGTTCCTACTGCCCCTAGGGAAACAATTCCTTCATAGACACCACAGGGCAGAACTGAAACATGATTGCAGACACATCCATTAAAAATAGAGTCAAGTAAGGGAACACTGATATCTGCAGGTGACCTGTTTTGTCCTAAACCTTAGAAATCCTCTCTTCATTTGGAAATATTCTGCTTTGTGGCATTTTGAGCAATAGTTTAAAACAAAACAAAGAATGAAACAAACACAATTTGTAAGTAGACAAACAGAAAAGGTACCATGAGCCTTGTACCATGAAGTTCATGATTCCATAAATCCTGAAATGTCCTGCAGCCATCTCTCTTTAGGATTACCCAACCTAAGGCAAGGTGAGACCCAGTCATTATTTTGATGGATTGTAATCATGGAAAATGCAGGTATCTCAATAAAACGTGTTGACAACTGGGTAGAAAACACAAAGAGATCCCACAGGATGGTGAAATGAAAGTTCTCTGCTCTTAGAATAGCCAGACCTCTGTAAACTGTAGAATTACACTTCTGGCTGGAAAATTTTGCACTCCTTTCATGACTATCCTCTCCGAAGGTTGTGCAACGTTTAATGTTGAGATTAAGGCAATCAGAACCATGTCTGGATGATCCATATGCAATCTAGTCTGTGATTCCCGCTCAACATGGCAAACCAGCCCCTTCTGAGAGGTGTCTGCAAATGGATGCAATTCAGTCTTCATAAGACACTGAGCAGAAAGTGGCTGAGAGCTGGCAGAGAAAGCACCCAGCACAGGTACCACCAGTTCCAGATACCTCCTGTGTCTTCATCAATTCCATACTTGAACATCCATTCACTGATGTAAGTACCCTCACAACACCCAGTTGGAGAAGGGAGTATTACTTCCAAAGGAAGATTCAACACATCAAGTTAAACAACTTGTCCCAGGTGATCAGGATTCTATGGGGAGTCTGACCTGCCCTTACACAGCCTGCAGCTCCTCAAGGTGTCCAGTCTCCAATCAGAATTCACCTCCAATTATGCAGTGCATGAAGAGCCCTTTAGAGATGGTACTTGAGAAAGATTTCTTTCAAGCTATTCAGTGTAGCCTGATCTGCTTTAGGGAATCAACCTCCAACTGCCCCACAGGCATCAAGAAAGGAATGCAGGTGACCTGACACAGAGTAGAAATAGAACTGCAAGAAGGTTGCAGAAGAAACCACAGTTTCTGCACAAGCTAGGGGTGATGCATCCAGTCTGCTCCCAATCCCAACACCTGGACTCAGCAATGGGTAATTTCCATGGTACAGAGCAAACTCATCACACTAGGAAGATGTCTTTGCAGGCTGAAGAGGTGTTCAATCCCTCAATAACACTTTTCTTGGGGAAGAACGTTTAATCTGCATCGTGGGAGAGACTGCAAGGGAGTAGGGGTATGAGAATGTCATAAAGCTGACTTTTGAAACTGGAAATTATATTCAAAGCACACACGAACAAGAGCTCAATATCAATAGCACCTGCAGGCTTTATCAGTGCTTGCAAAGCTCCATCAGAGTTTTCCTCTGACAAGTTGCTTACTATAATGAAAACAACCTACCAATATCCCTCAACACAGAACAGTGTCAATATTGACACTCCTTGTTAAAGCCTTGATATTTGTTCTCTTGATACTTACACCATGCTTTGTTAGGGCAGATTAAGCATTTTTGCTAAATACCAGTTAAATCAGCAGGAAAGCAAAGGAGCTTTTTTTTTTTTTGGGGGGGGGGGGGCAGGAGCAGGGGGAAAGAGGGAGATACGTTTTTATTTGTAAAGAGAAGAATAAATATCTTGGCTTCATGGAGTCATAGATGTTTTGGGTTGAAATAGACCCTTAAAGGTCATGTAGTCCAACCTCTCTGCAATGAGCAGGGACATCTCCAACTAGACCAGGTTGCTCAAAGACCCGCCCAAGGTGGCTGTGAATGCTTCTAGGGATGGGGCACCCACCACCTCTCTGGACAACCTGTGTCAGTGTTTCCCCACCCTCATCATAAAATGCACCTTCACTGTAATACATCACATGGCTTCCAGCTAATACCTGATAGCTAATACTCACTATCACCTTCTGCTCTACTCCTGGAAATACATTTTGTAATATCATTTTCATCATCCCAAACTGAATCTTGCTTTTGATCAAGATGAAATTTCCTCTCCCTCCCTAACTCCGTCTCCCAGAAAGCTGGAAGGTTTAATGAACCATTTTACTGCAAATCAGCCCCAAAAATCTAATCCTGGCTCAGCCACCTCCATCCGTAACCTCAAGAAATACTGTGTAGCCTCTGTTTTCTCCACCTGCAACGACGACCAATGCAATGCACATAGCTGCAGTGAGATTTGATATTTCCACTGTGCTTTGAAAAGGGGATGTTGAAAAGATATGAAGTTGTATCAGCTCTGGGACCAGCAAACCGAGGCTGCTAAATCCTGTGCTGAGCCCAGACTCCCTTCCCCCAAGACAGTTGTCTTTTCTGGAACAAATTTCAGCTGAAGACTAAGAGCTGCTTGCAAACATGCAAACCCAACTCTGCAAACAGCAACCGTGCCAGGAAAAAGGCCTTTCCCAGCTTTCCCCCCGCTGTCAAAGTTTAGATGAGTTGAATAAAAGCATGCATAAAGTTTTGGATGACTAAATATATGTATGCTTTCTTTAAAACAGCTCTTAAGGATGCTTGCATTAAGAAGACACTTTAAAAACCTGCGTGTTTGTTGCCTGCTCTCAGATCTTTTTAAAAGCCATTTGGTAGGATCCTCACCCTGCTGGGTGCTCAAGACTGCAAGAAACCCTTCTGTTTGTGCCCAAGATGGTCTCAGCAGGAAGGGGCACGGCTCCAGGTCTGGGTATTAATTTACCTGCTGCTTTAGCTCATCAAGAAACACTCACACCTTGCTCTGTAATGGATCACGCAGAGACCAAAGTTTGCAGCTAACTGCCTGTTCTGCCCTCGCTGCATTAAAACCCTCAACTGAACAGAGGGAGGGAGAATCAAAACAGGGGTTTGCCCCTTTGAGGGAGATAGGTGGGTAGTGAGAAGGAAATCTGAGCTTTGTTCCTGTATCTCCAGGGAGCCCTGTTGTCTTTCCTGTCTCCTCTTCCCCCCTTGGGCGACGGATACCCCCAAAGCCACTACAGGTCTGTAAGAAATGCTGAGCTGGACATTGGGTAATGGTTTTAAACTAAAAGAGAGTCAATTTGGATTAGATATAAGGAAGAAATTTTTTACTATGAGGGTGATAAAACACTGGAATAGGTTGCTCAGATATATCGTAGATGTCTTATCCTTGGAAAGGTTCATTGTCAGGTTGGACAGGGCTTTGAGCAACCTGATGTAATTGAAGATGTCCCTGATCACTGCAGATGGGTTGAACTAGATGCCCTCTAAAGGTCCCTTCCAGCCCAAATGACTCCATAATAGTCACAGATCAACCATGTCCTGCTTCTCATTTCAGCACAACCTGGCTCAAGAGAAGTGTTGTATCAAACCTGAGTATCTGAGAGAAGGGGCATGAATAATTTTGGGCAAAAGAACCTTTCCTGAAACAAAAGCCTTTCAGTGCAGTCACAAACCACAGCTTGGGATGGACTAAAGGGGTTGTGTCCCCCCAGACCTGCTCTCCCCTCCTCACAATGCTCTTGTCACCTCCCTCACAGCAGCCTTGGTATGCAGAAAAGCTCCTCAGCTCCTTCATTCAGTGGCACTGCCTGGTAACATCCTGCTCACACAGGATGGAAAATAAACATCCCAGGGAACTGCTCAGCTTTTGGCAGAAAGTCAGCAGGACTTGGGCACAACGAGATATAAAACATTTGCTAAGCAAGTGTTTGAATATCGCTTTTGGAACCTGGTTTAATTCATTGGGTTCCCGTTCCCCTCCTGCCTAACCCTATTCTGCCAGCCACAATGCAAAATTTGGAAAAAAAAGCTGTTTCCTACCAATGGGAGAAGGGGCTCCCGTTAGGTACAGGCAACAGGTACAATCACAGGTGGGATCTGCTGGCTCCTGCCATCCACTTGCCATTTTGCAGGGGAGATGTTTCCACCACAGCTGGGTGACTGCCTGCAGAAACTACTGGAGGCAGAACAACTGCACTGGCAGCACTGTGCAGAAAGGCTGAGCAGGCAAACCAGGAGCATGGCTGTGGGGCAGGAGCATGGACATGGGGCAGAAGCACAGCATGCCCAGCAGTGCAGCCCACTATTAGCCCCAGTCCTCTCCACGGAAAAGTCTCGT